CCTCGTTAATCAAATATTAAAATTTATAAAAGTAAATCCATGTTTCTATGATATAGGGAAATAATTAGAGTAATAGGAGAAATTTCTCCAATTTCGTGTTCTCTGGCTATGAGCAGGCGAAACACGTCGGCTTTAGTGTTGAAACTCTTCAGCTGTATATATGAAGTAAATATTATACATAAATGAAGAAAACCTTATTTTATTAACTATTTTGTAATGAAATAAATTTCGTAAGACATTTACCATTAAGAAATCAAAATTAAATGTAAACTATGCCTGAAAGTGAATGTAAACTATTACATTTAATGTACGAGTATGTAACTGTAAACTAGCTTCTGTAATGTTTAAAAACTGAAGAGGTAAAATGTCTAGGTCTAAAAAAATCAACTTTATCTCTACTTAACCTTCTCTCTATATATTTCTTCTGATTGTATACGTCTCTTGGCACGTTCGTAGAGCTTTTGGATTACTCAGTAGACTTAATTTCTTGGAAAGCACTTGCATCCCTTCTTTACGATTTTCTGAATATCTCAAATGCTCAAATAAATGGAGCTTTTAAGGTAATATTGCATTAGAAGATTGCATGTTTGAAGTATGATTAAAAAATATTTTTGTTTTCAATATGTTGCTTGAAGGCAGACGAATTGCACGAAGGTAACATTTTTGATATTAGTTTGCCATCAAATCTGTGGTCGTAAGTTGGTTTGGTTTATCTGATTATGGCAAAGCACTCGAGGCTATTTGCGTAAGGGAGGGACGCCCCTACGCAGATAGCCTCTAAGGGAAATTCACTCCTATACACGTTACACAGGTTACAGGTTACGGAGGACGGGGACGCCTGGTGTTTAACATAGGTAAACAGGCGTATGTCCCGCACCCTCCACTCTCTAGAAACAACAACTCCCTGGAGCCCCAGGAGGCTGCACCGGGAGTTCATTTGGATCTTAAATAAATTTGTTACATGGCCATACAGGGGCTATAACTGATGTAAGACATTGTGTGGGAACGTAGTACATATGTTATATAATAATAAACCACGAAAAGGCCCATGGAGCCAGCCAAGATCCGAACCTAGGACCGAACTACTAGTGTCCATGATTTTGCCACTCGGCCGCTGGTGGACCCTAAAGTCACAGTTATAAACTGAAAAAATCAGAATTCCATGCAAGCGTTCTTCCCATAACCGCATATTACTTTAATCGAAGCAAGTTGATATATGTTTATGGCTATGGCCACTAGTTATCATTTTGCAGATTTGCTGAAACTATCTGACAAAAAAAAACTTTTTCTCTAGGATTCAGAATAAAATAAAGTAGGTGCCCTGATTCAAAGGCAGATCTGGCAGCATTTCGAAAATGTACACATCGTAGATTTGTAGAGGATATTCACCTAATGTAAAGTAAGGATATGGAGAAAGTAGATTCTCACTCAAAACTGAGATTAATTCAGAAAAAAAGATCCTTTTTATATATATACTTGATTTTGGATTTATATATGCTTTTCCTCATTTTTTTAAATTTAATTATTTGCATTTTAATAGTTTACTACTTCTTCTATGCTACTGAAGTAACGATTACTCAAATTTTATTTTGTTGGATTATTAATTTTTTAGTAATTCCTAAAAAAATTCCTAATTTCATTTTAGGCACTATAAATAGTATATACTATTGACTTTGACATAGAATTTATGCTTTTTGTTTCTTGTGTGAAATTTTTAATGCATTTTCTTAAACTTTTTAAAATAAATTTCCGACTTATTGTTATAAACATTAAATACTCTTAAAGTATAAAATTAAGATTATCCGGCCAAAGATGTAATTATATTTAGGTTTTAAAATAACTGGTAAAAAGGAGAAGTTGCCAGTAATGTTATAATTTTAAAGATTAAAATACATTAAATAGGTTTTTATGTGATACTTCAAAGCATGCTTAACTTCGTTTCTAAAAACTGTGTTTTGGCTTGATAGCTCGTCAAGCATAAATTTCATTGTACCTTCATTCAGAATGTATAGCTTAATGTTTTCAGGGAAAATGCTTAAAATATCACGTTTTACAGCTGTTACACTGATATTGTACCACAAAAATATATTAGTTTATGTCCTGTAAGATGTATATCAAATTTTAAATTTTTGAGAGTTATTCTAACACAGTCGCAGCGGATCATATTGAAATTATGCTGTTCGCGAAATTACGGACAAAATAATTCCGATTTACCAGTAAAAATGCTAGGCTCTTTTTTGCGATTTACAAGAAAGGCCGTAAACTGCATTACTAGTACCCCTAGTATTAAAATAATGGTTCCAAGGATTTTGGAGAGTATATTTAACGTTAAGAAAACATCAGTTTAGAAGCACTAGTTCCAAATTAATGTTTGCAGAAGGGCTAAAATATTGTATTCAATGAAATCTAGTTTTATAGAAGGCCTAAACTAACACATTTCCATGCGGTTAAATGGTATCGTATACGTAATTTTGGCAACATTTTCAAAGCCAAAGAATTATGAATTATGACAATTTCAAAGAATTATGAATTTCTTTTTTTCCTCCCTAAAGAATCTTCACCATGACACAGAACAACTTACTAACTGGAACTTTCTTCGTTGTGCTTGTTGTTGACTAATGCTCACTTGTCTGATCTATAGTCAACCCAAGAGCACGAAATTCTTCGTGGCAAGGAGCGCAAGATACGCCTGCCGTTTGCAACAGCCAACGGCAAGGTGTTCAGAGGGCGATTTAGCTCAGTTCAGCCTCCAATTTTGACAAAGAGCATGCCGGGGGGGACGGGTCCGAGGACCTCGCATCCCTCTTCCCCAACCACCAACCTCTCGAGAAGACTTTCGGTTCGCTTCATATTTAAAGTGCCTGCACTCTGCCATGCTGCACGGACATTACCCATTTACAAACATCCATGCCTTCTTTGGGATTCAAGCCCGAGCCCTTCGTGACAGCAGTCAGCGACAGTTGAACCGCTATACCAGTTGGACGGCTTTTCTCTTCGTAGAGGGCTCATATGAAAAAACTTAAATTTCATACATTTTGAATAAAAGATGTTACATAACCAACTATGTCAAGGTTTTTTTTAGAAATTACTTTAAATGTTACATGTTTGCAAATTATTTTTCGCATTATTTGTTCTAGTTCTCCTTCACATCGAGAGAATTAGGTATTTTGAAAGCAAATTTTAATTCTTAATTAAATAAAATAGTTTGCTTTCCTTAGCATTATTACAGAATACACAGTGAAAACGAAAATGATGCATTCCATAATTTCTTTCAGCAGCCTTAAAGGAAAATGTTACAGCGGTATATTTTATTTCTTATTTTTCTTTTTCTTCTTCTTCTGTCTCTTTTTTTTTTTTTTTTTACTTTATTTTCTGGCCTTGTGTAAGGTAAAATATTTGAAGTAAAATATCAATACGCTTTTATAATATAAATTCAAATGATTTTACACTTTACAATGGAAAATTTCTTAAGATATGTGTAGTTAACATCCTCATGTGATCAGTTAGAACTTTAATAAGAGTGCTAATGACCTAGGAAATGAGAAGCTTTTGTAATATGTCCTTGAATCTCAGAGAAATATCGCCAACTTTATTAGGTGATACAAACTGAAAAGTGATTTAAGTCAATAAACTCATTCTTATACGTCTGCTACATTTCACCACGTAAAGAATAAAATCCTTCATATTTAAGTATAATGACTATTTTATTGCTTGAAATGCTTTTTCTACGAGAGCTATAAAAATTTTTAATTTCATATATTTGCTGAAACCTGAGGTATCAGGGAGAATTCAAAGTATGCTGTATCGTTCTTTAAAAAATGTATTTAAAAGTAAACGTCTAGGAATAATGTTTAGGGAAATAAAGTTCGTAGCTGCCAATTTTGAGCATCTTGCACAAGCATTCTGTAATGAGGTTTTTAAACAATAAATTGCATAATAACAAATTTATCAAGCACTTAAAATTATTGCAGAAGAATATTGTGGCAACGTTTTATAATCTGAAATAATAGACGAATTTGAATGTAGATCATAAGTCTGATTAACATAAGGTATGGTGAACGTTTCATAGTTCTACAACTATTCATTCAGCTGCCATTCAGCTTAATTCTATTTTCTATATTAGTTTCTAACAAATTTTAATTCTATTTCGATTCAGATAAATTCTATTCTCTCAGAAGCTTTCTCACTAATTTTAGGGAACTGTTAAGGATTTTTAGTTTCATTTTACTCAATGAAAGCATGTCTTCTTGAATGCATTTAATAATTCTGAAATATTTTCAGGTTTTTGTTTTGTTTTAAGTAAATGTCGGCATTTACCATCAGTCATTTTCATTAATAAGCTTTAGTTTTATACTTTAGTTCCCTAATCTGGAAAGATTATCTTTTAAATATTTACCAAGCCTCTGCTTCTTAATTAATAATGACTGTAAATGGTTTGCAAATACTTTCTTTCGAAGAAAATGTTTTTAATTTTATTCTAATACACTAAAATGCATTTTTCTCAAGTTTTAATGTTTACGTGGAATAATAAGGAACTAATTTTGTAAATGTATTGAAAGGACTCTGAATTATAATCACATGCTAGTCAACTTTCTATAATTATTTAAAATAGAGCAACTGAATCTTTTGTCTGTCGCAAGAAGAAAGGAAATATTTGAAAATATAGTGCAAATTTTGTCTTCACTGGTGGGTAGTTTTTACCTAAAAAAACTCCTGGATTAATAATATGTAGGTAATAATTGTATAATTTTAGGCAACACAATAGTTTAATCTAAAAACGTTTAAATTACATTCATAAAGAACGATTATCGTTTTTACCTAATACTGAATATTAATTAAGCAGGTAATAAAGTAATTCCATCTAATTATTTCCCTAATTCAAAAATTTAGAAAACTATGATAAGAAAACTCTAAGTGTTAGCCAATTAAAAAACATATAAATCTTTTTAACTTTATTTGGAAAATCATGTCAAATTCTAAAACATGTTACAATGTCTTACCTTATCTGAAAGCTCATCTTCTGTATGAGAACTGTTCTCAAGACTACTTCTGTGTGTCGATTCCTGATGAGAAACTTCTTCTTCTATGTCTTTCGTCTTGGACGACTGATGACTACAACTTTTATTGTCCTGGAAGCGTTTCAACAGAAAATAGTTCCGAAAGCTATTTCCAGTACTGAGAAAGGACTCTTCTCCTTCAACTCGAGCTACAGGATGCGCTAAGAAACAACTAAATGCGTCTTCAACTAGAGATTTTTGCAATAATCTAAGATCTGTATCTAATAACTGATATGGGCAAACGCCCTGCTTATTTGGGGCTTCTATTTTGGCCCCTCTTTCTAATAAAAGGCGTATGCAAGACCAAGATACTTTGTGCTGGCAAGTGGCAAGGTGCAAAGGCGTGACGCCGTATTTGTCCTGTACTTTAGGGGATGCTCCATATTTTAAGAGTAGATGGACCATCGTGGCATTTCCCACTGCAACGGCTAAGAACAGAGGTGCAAGAACGTATAAAGCTTCTCGAGTATAGTGTTCGTCATAAAACACATTTTTGCCTTCTGACGTCACATACACCGTCCTCAGGGACGGATCCAGGCACTGACGAGTGCAAACATACGTCTTGGAGCTGGCTGATAAACGGAAGAAACATGGCGACAAAAAGTGGTTAGAAGCGGCCGAACAGCTACCTCTCCTCCAAATTTCAAAAGAGGACGGTGGAATGCCCGATTCATTTGGGTCGACACCATACTTTAAAAGCAGCCTTGCAACATCTAAAGAATGGCATTCGACTGCCAGATGAAGGGCATTCGCAAAGATAGGGGGCGGTTCGTGCTCGGATGATAAGCTGCCACGTCTCTCCAGTCGCTCCAAGAAGGTTTGCGATTTTCGTAACAAAATTTCTACGTCTTGGGTTCCGCTCTGAGACCCCTCGCTCGATTTATCCAGCAGGCTACCGTGCAGGTTAAGAGGAAAACGACCGTGATGAATCTCAAGCATCCGTCGAACAACCGACGTGTCGTTGTTCCTCACAGCCCGATCTAGCTGCTCTGCTTCAACAGATAAATCATTGATGCTCGAGGCCAGGCTGCCCAAGACTAGAGATTGGCAGGACGGAGATCCGCATCCACATGAAATGCTTGGAGCAGCTTGGACGGTGACTACTGCTGCTTTATCTTCATCCTATAAAAATAAGGACATTTTCAGTACAGAATTTGCCAATAAATCTTTTATACTGATAAATACAAAATAATAAGCATAGATATTTGCTATGATCATGTACAATGCTTATAAATATGTAAATTCAGATCTAAATCAGAAAGTAGTGTATTCCTTGAAGTAGTAGTGCGTGTGAATAACTGATGCGCAAGTTTAACAATGAGGCTGAGGACTGTTAAAATGTATGAAAAGAATTTTGGAGCACACAGTTATGTTCTTTCATCTAAGCGCTATTTAATACTTGCCAAATTCTGCAACAGATATGGCTAATCCACCTGCTCTTTCCAAAGCATCAAAGATATGTTCTGTGGAACTCAGGATCGGAGATTTGATTGGCCAGTAAATTATTAAACGCATTCATATATCAAACCAATCTTATGTAAGCGACTGCCTGTTGCCCAACAAAATACAAGCCTCGCAAGGGTAGGACAGCCGATTACCGTTCCATCCATGGAGGTAAAAAAGGAAGGAGTGGCCAAACCGGTACTAGAAGTTGAAGCACTGCTTCGAAGCTTCGGTCACCAGATGGGGTGTTTTTGTTTACATTCAGAAGCTCGCTTGACAGGGAAATACAGCTAGTATTTCGACACACGACAGTTCCATACAAATCGAAAAACGGGACACTTTCGCATGAAAGAAGCATTCAATAGTGTAATGGATAATAGCAATTTGTATAGTTTAGCGATATTTACGCAAAAATCACATCTTGTTTATTTTTCTATAACTAACAACACCGATTTTGATTATGAATTTGTTTTATAAAAATCTAAGCTGTTGAACTACAAAAGTTTATACATATAGTTCACAACAAAGCAAAAACATACAAAAGAAGTATACAAAAGAACATATAGTTTTTAGCAAAAATGTCATGCTTAAAGAATGAAAAAAACCTTACGGTACTTTTAAAATTGTATACATCTTTCGATACCTGTGATAGAGTATTCGCTACTTTTATTTTATGTTTCGAACGCCAAAATGTTTTAAATAAATTAAATTTTTTCACATTCACATATTATTGTAAAATGTACTTTTTAAAATTTTTTAGAGGAGACGCTTTACTGTTGCTCATTTTAAACTCATAATTTTATTTTTATATATCTGAAAAATAATCACTTTGGGCTTACAAGTTTTTCTTAGTTACTATTATTTATTATATTATCAGAGAATTATTAAACTGTGTAAAATCGTTAAAAGACGTATTGTGCGCTCTTCCAAAATGTAAAGATTGGAATTTGATGATGAATGTATCCTAAAACGTGTTTTAAGTCAAAAGTTTGAAACTTGATGGCTATAAGTAAATATAAAATTATGCATGTTAAAATATTTGTAATTAGGCACATTGGTCAGACTAAGTTTTTATTAAATAGAGTAAGGCATGCAAAGTCTATCTGCCTAAAGGGAGATATGCCATCGTGGAGGAATTTTGAAGAAAAACTTACCTTCGAGTGAGTATAAAAATAATGCATATAATTTTCATTCAAATTATATTATACATTTCTTATGTAAAACTTTCGGTATATGTAAATTAGTGTAAATTACTACTCGAAAAATATAGTGAATGCACAGAATTAAAAATTTGCACATGCGAAATGAAAAATATAAATATGTATGGTATTTATGCATGTACTTGCAAAAGCATGCATCTGCCTTTAACACAATCGTAAAATTTATTAAATTATTTATAAATGTATTTAAATGAAGGATTTATTCATTCATAAACAAGTGAAAGTACTGTGAAAATCTAATTTTAAATTATCTTAATTTATAATGATTGTAAATATTATCTAAATATATAATAAACTTAGCATTGAATTGTAAACATAAACTGAAATCCTGTTTAAAAATACGTTACAAAACTATTAAAGCAAGAATTGTTCGTACTGAAAAGCAATCTGTTAAAAGGCATTGTAAAGCAAATGCTACGAGATGCGTACTTAAGAAAGTATTAAAGAAGAGTTTTGGAATACGTATTGTTGAAATTATGGGTAAAAAAATCTGATAAGTATAATTGAAAGAATCATTCCCCTTACATTTTATAACTCAGTTACAACAATATTTGTATTACATACGTAAATGCATATGTTCATTTGCTTTGACATGTAAAGTTCATATACAGTATCTTTGAAACTATAAAGAAAAACCAATGCCAGTTTTAAAATCAGCATTTTGAATTTTAGTTTAAAACAATGATTAAAAAAATGTTGCTCTCATTTGGGCCTTGAATTTAAAACGTAGACTAAACAGCGTGCTTTCTCAGAAACTATTTTTTCGACCAGTTTCTCCTCAACATGCGGATGTTATGAGCAATTTAGAACAGCGGTTGTTTAGTTTATTTCAGTTAAGTTTTGGCAATTATATTTACAAAATTCTGCTGGCATTACAAATTAATATATGAACTATATATATAATTATATATAATTACTAAACAAATGATTATGAATTTGGTCATTATAAAATGTGCGGGATCCAAACAATCAAGTTACTAACGAAAAATTTTGTAAACATGTTACACAGTTTCCCCTGTCTAAAGTTAATTAAAAAATAATCAATGAATTTAAGCCAAGAATTCTAAAATATTATTTAATAAATTAAAAAGGGAGATTTTCTTAAGAACAGAAAAAGTTAAATATTATTCATTACATATTTCTCTTTTAACTCTAAAAAGTAAAAAGAAATGCATAATTACTTACATTCGTTCAATAAAAAAACCCTTCAGTGTATTTAGGATTTGAATCAAGTACAAAATTAAAAAATAAGTGTTTCATTTCTTAAAGAGCGTGATTCAACTTAATTTATTCTTAAAGAAATATTCTTTAATATGAACTTAGATGGTTTATTATTCAAGGAACATCTTCGTCATTAATTCATTTTCTTAGAAATTTAACAGAAAAACATAATTTAATTTCCTTCCATTTTCGTACGATTAAATTCTTTATCCACCGAAAAAATTCTTTTCAAGTTTCCTAATATGTGACAAGTGTAGATGTTTTCGTCTTAAGAAATATACTCCGGATTTAAAAACAACCGTAAAATGAAGAAAGTTTTATTTATTTCGTTAAATAATTGCTTCTATGTTAATTTACGAAATTGTTTCCATTTTTGTCGAGATGAGTTTCTTTAGCTTATGATTTGATAATGGCAAAACTTCAATTTTCAACACAAATATTTTTATTTTCAAAAATTATTTCATTTTAACAGATATTTCACAAATAAGTCAAGCCAAAAATACTTTAGTTTAAATTCTTGAAATGATTACTTTTTGAAAAGATACTTTTTAAAGGCATAAGCTAAGCCATTTTACCAAGCATTAAAGTACTCAACTGGACCCATTTAACACATGAGAAAATAGTAATCCTACATTTTTTTTTTACGTTTTAACTAAGGCAACTAAGAACATTTTTCATCAACTCTACATGTCTTCCCACGTTTATATTTTAAATATCTTTATAAAGGGATGTGCAATAATCTAAAAATAGTTAAGCGAATTATAAAATGAGGGCTTTTTATAAATTTCCGAAGTTGGCTTTTCGAACAAATAAGTATGTGACTATGCTCTTCTTTTTTAGTTAGAATCGTAAGCTGTTTTCTCCATAAAATTTGCTAATATTTAAAACAATAATTTGGCAAATATTTTAAATAACCTGATCGCTTAAAACTGTGCAGAAATGTGTATATATACAATCTTCGGTGACTCAGATCTCTATAACAATATAACGCTTAAAAGTAATACAGTACCGTAACTTGCATAATTCTTTTGTGAATACTTTGGAATTTGATATATTATATTTCTATACTTCTAAACAGAAATCCTTATTGCGAGAATATAGAAATGTAGTATTACTTAGACAAATTGGAAAAACAATTCATTTAAAAGGTATTTTACATATTTCTGATTAAAAAATAGGTCCTTTAAACAATTAACATAATAATTGAACAAAATTAACAGAAAACTATATTCTCTACTTTCTACTGAAGCAATTAAGCACGAAGTTATTATTAAAACGAGCAAGAGAACGCATTATTTAATGAACTTACTTTTGTAAGCCTAAAACCTAGGAGAATCAAGGTATTTCAGGAACTTCAAATTTAAATCATAATGAATGCTATGCGAGTTGCTATGGATTCTTTGAACATTGTGCAAGTTACTTTTTAAAGACTTTAAAAATATCGGTCGAAAATGTGACGGTAATCCAGGGATACTCACTGAGATGCTAACAACTCCAACTCTCGTGGATGTTTTTGAACATCTGAGAAAACAAAGAAAAAGCGGGGCAGGAAGTTATTCCATGTGTTTCTCTTCAGAAGAGGCAGCTAACATAAATCACTCTGCGAGGCTTACTCTCTTAGTCTCAACTTGGTGAGAGGAATGCTTTTTTACATGCACTTTCTTCAATACTTCCAGGTATTGTTAAGGAATAATGCGTGACTATCTTTACTTAAAGATATTGTAAAGATTCTCAGTTTCTGAATATTTGGTAACGGGTTAAAGGAGAAACCTTTCAAGTTACAAAGTTAACTTTGAAGTTTTAGCTTAAATAGAGAAACATGTTAAAATCCATACAGATTGAAATGTGTCCAATAAATTTTAAAATAAACCCATAGACAACTCTCTAATTTTGTCTCACATAATAGTGAATAATACTGATATTCTCCGTTATTTTCATACTTAAGCTCTGTTAAGCATTCTTATCGTCTTTTTCTGCAACATGTCTCTTTCAATTATTTATAAGCGAATAATTTTAGATACAGTCATGGGACTGCTAAATCAGAAAAGTTTACAGTTGTTAGTACCCGTATCTCGTAAGCAGCAATTAAATAAAAAGCATAATGTTTAATTGCCATATTAATGCCGTACGACTACATGTGGCATATGAATAATAAAGAGGAGTAAAGTACGTTAGGAATTAAATTTATTCCTCCCATGCGTGTTTTTGGTATAGTTGCTAACGCATTCAAGCAGCAAA